AAAAATTCTCCTGTAACACCATCCTAAAATTAATTAGAAGTACGAAATTCTCGCGTGATGGGATGGGACCCTTATCCCCCAACAGACTCTCAGGTGGAGGACTCTTATATCTTTATGGACGTGGCGAAGAAACTTTAAAAACCCACAACCGGCAATTCCGCCTGAATCCAGACGCTGAGACTCATGAAGCTTAAGCGCTTCACTGCAAAGCAACACAGAAACGGAGCAAAACTCGCCGGCTAAGCTCATCTCTCTCCAAAGACTCAACCAACGCCGCTCTTGATTTGCCTGATCCCAAATCTTCGCGCCCCTCCGCCGCTTGTCACCACCGACGACGACCGCCCCTCCACGTCTGGTTTGATTCTCTGCCCCCGGGGTGTTCTTTTTGTTGTACCTATTCGTGATGATGTTTTGATTTTATTTTTCTTTAATTTTTGGAAAATATGTTTTTGGTGAAGTGAGAAAGAAGGTTTTGGCTTTGATGTGGATGGAAGATGGCGGAGCCATCGACGATGACTGGTGATGTGAGGGAGAAGAAGATATGGAAAGGAGTTTTTGCTGTGTCTGGAATCATGATTACTCTTGTCATCTATGGTGTTCTTCAGGTTTGTTGTTGGATTTGTTTTTGATTTTGTTGGTAAATTGAGTAATAATTAATGGCCATTCCCCCTGAGCCCCCTCCCCTGTATGTTGTTATTCGTACTGCCAGTGTTGAAGAAATGAATGTCTAAATATGTGAATGTGAACCCATGCATTAAAATTACTGTAAATAGCAAAGCAAGGGAATCTTTAGAAGGAATTACATAGATGCTTTCTACAAGCAGTTGCATTTCTCTTTCAAAATGTTTTGGTTCACTAATATTCTAGCAATGTAGCAATTTGCTTATCTTTTCCAAGTGGAAAACATTTATGGATATTTCCAAATCAGTTATCATCATTATAGCAAATGGGTAGTTTCGAATTTTATTTATCCTAACAACATTGAGCCTATTTCTTGGTCTGCGGTACTTAGTTTTTACTTGTGGATGCACCTTTGGTAAGGAACTAATTGACGTTTATCTTCTCGCAGGAGAAGATCATGAGGTTCCCATATGGGGTAAACAAGGAATATTTCAAGTATTCACTATTTCTTGTTTTCTGCAACCGCATTACAACATCTACTGTTTCTGCTGGTGTTTTACTAGTAAGTAGGGGTTGTTTGCATATTTTGGGGATAGCCTTTTCTTTACCACTGGTATTATTTTTCATAGTGACTGAGTGGCCCTTGAGGGGTGGACGGGGGGTACTAATTGAAGCAATGAATGTTCTGATAATAAGAAATAACATTGTGAATTGACCATATTCAGAAATTTTGTTCTCCTTGATTTTCTTCTCCCAGGCAAGTAAAAAAGCACTGGATCCTGTTGCTCCAGTCTACAAGTATTGTCTCATATCAGTATCAAACATACTAACGACAACTTGTCAATATGAGGTAAGTGGCATTGTTCCAGCTCTTTATACTATGACTTCTGTTTTTTAATTGCAAAATGTAATTGTATTTTAACATTACTTTTCTAAGTGTATGCAAGTTGAGGAATATGAGTATAGTTAATATTTATTTCAATGAGAATCTTTCCCATCCTTCAGGCCCTCAAGTATGTGAGCTTTCCAGTTCAGACACTTGCAAAGTGTGCCAAAATGATACCTGTTATGGTAATGTTATATTTTCTACATTTATTCCATGCGGTTCTGTAATTTTGGTGGACATGAGTTGTTCTTTTTTTTTTTTTTTTTTTTACTGAAGTTGATCTATCTGTCTCTCCATGTTGTTGATTACAATGTATAGTGAGCGATGATTACTATTCTATTTTTTTCCTGTCATGTTTATTAGGTTTTCTTACTTGTATTTAAACATAATAACTAATAAGCATAACTTGCTCTTCTTTTTTTGTTTCATACAGATTTGGGGCACTTGCATTATGCAGAAGAGATACAAGGGATTTGATTATTTGGTAGCTTTTCTGGTGACACTGGGTTGTTCAATATTTATTCTATTTCCGGTAAAAATTATATATTTATCTGCAGCTTTCATTTTGATTCCACTATTCTCCTATCCAAGTGCATCAATGTGATTCTCAATTCTTGAATGTTTAATATTTGCTATCATATTTGATACCTGGCTTTATATGATTGATTCTTGTTGTTCTTATTGCACCAGGAGTTTCATTGGATTTTATCTTTGAACAAAAGGCCCGGAAACCCATGTTGTCCCCAAAAATAATTTTGAACTAATTCTGTTTTTATGTTTCCTTGTAGGCAGGAACTGACTTTAGTCCTTATAACAGTGGAAGAGAAAATACTGTTTGGGGCATCTCCTTAATGATTGGTTATCTTGGGTAACAATTCAAACTTATGTATTCTTACCACAGGCATGCTGATTTTGCTTAAAATTGTTTGATCATTTCTTTAATTGTCTGTTTAGAATCTGAAACACATTCTAAAATATAAGTTTTGCCATTACAAACTATAATGGTGTGCTCTTTTATCATATTATGTCTTTCCTGTGTAGTTAGCTGATCCTCTCCATTTTCAACAGGTTTGATGGTTTTACAAGCACATTCCAAGATAAATTATTTAAAGGCTATGATATGGAAATACACAATCAAATATTCTACACAACAGTATGTTCTTGTCTGCTCAGTTTGACAGGTAAAGTTTACTCGATCTCCATTGTAACTTAAAATATCCAGTTTTAGATCTCTCTCTCTCTCTCCCCAAAAAATCATGCATGATGGTTCTTTTTCACTGGTAGCTTCTTCAGAGTGCAGAGGAGATAATTCCAACTGATGTTTTGTGCTTCATTAGTTTCTGTTTTAACTAATTTAGTCTAATCTAAAAGATAAGAAATTGTATGCGTCCTCAAAGGCTTCTTAATTGATTTTTCATGATCAAATAGGTAAGGGTACCCAAATGTCACCAAAGTAAGCCAATAGTTTGGATAATTTCTTTCAGCTTTCAATGCTATCTAAGATCAAATTCCAGTGTTTTCAATTCTTGTGGCGTGGTAAACCTTGCTTTCAAGTACCTAATTCTGTGTTGCCTATTCAAGCCAAATTTGATATTTTATACAGGGACACTATTGTCAAGTATTTAATTTGGTCCCAAGTCCTATTTGAAATATGATGGGCTTATGACTCTGTTTCAGCTTCCACGTTGATCATTCATGTTCGTGTTTCCTTCTAGATTACATTATATGCTGCATGCTGCTGACTGGTTACTTATGCATAATATTTGGCCCTTTTTTTTGTTTGTGTGGATTAGGCCTGGTATTGCAAGGACATTTACTTCCAGCTATAGAATTTGTTCATCGCCATAGTGATTGTTTCCTCGATATTGTATTGCTTTCAACTGTAAGTGAGTTT